AACTTATACGGACAGAAACAAAGTATGCACCGACTACTGTCAATAAAAGCAACCAAGGGGTTTCACGTTTTTAGTTTTGCTCTGTATAAGAGAGAAGAACGGAATTCCATAAAATTTTTCAATTTCAGGGACTCAAAATATTGCATTAGCCAGAAGACTTTCCGCTCCAACTAATCCTTGGGAAGAAGAACTTCTCAATTATTTAGATACGAGAAGAAAAATTATTCATAGTCTTCTCGTCCTTAACTTTAAGTTTTCTTAACATTTCAAATAATAAGAACATTTTGCATTACAACATTATACATATATACAAATTCTTTACTTATTCTGAGTTCCTAAAATGCAGCAATGCGTGTAAACTATGAAGAAATCCATTCAACCATACTTCATAAGATTACTTTTAATGGCTTAGATTCAAAGCGGATTTCATACGCTTTAGGAAAGCCAACCTTTCTTTTCGATGCACTTGCTATTGACGTTGTTTCTAAAGCTAACAGAAAAGTAACCTTCAACGCTAGGAACGTGAGCTCCTAATTTTGATTTTATAACGGATTTATGTTTATAAATTTATTTTAAACTTAATATAATTTTCAAAGAAAGATTTTTAATACTTGGGTTGATTTTCGGTTACCGAACGAATATTACTCTTGCGTTACAATGGAGAATCATATTAAAATTTTTCTAATCTCTTTTCTCCAGAGTTATTTATTTATTTGAAGATACATATGTTAGCAAGGAAATGTGAAAAGGGAGCAGTCTATAAGTTGCCTAAGCATTCTGTATTATACATATAGCTTTTAGGAAAAGTCTGAACTGTCTTTTTATTTTATTTCAACGTTTTATGTGATTTTCCTAAGCATTATAGAAAAACAAAACAAAACCAAAAAAAAAAAAATGATATCAGGAAAATATAAAAAAGTCATTTATTGAAAAGTTGCATGTAAACATATAAGAAGTACAAAGGATAAAATACGGATTTTTTCTGCAGAAACAGAAGGAAAAAAAAAATCTAGTGCTTAACTATTTGCCGCTGCAAAGTAGACTGAAATGGTTTTTTAAATTTCAGTTAAGTTTCTATGTGAAAGTGCTTCAAATTTCGGCACTTGTGAGTGTATCACATGAATTCTACGTCGTTACTAGTAGATTGAACGGAAACAACCAATGGTTGAACCATTTAGTCGTCAGAGACGTTTCCTAGTTCTAGAGAAGTTTTCAGGACAAAAAGTGAAATTTTTGATCTGACGCAGAGTTGGTTCAAAATTCCGTAAATTTTAAATTCTGCAAAAACCACCGTCTACGAAGCTCATAACAACCGCCAGCAGATTGTGTGGGTCACTGCTTCCCTGTCGGGCTTAGGAAGTTGCATAGCTTAGGTACAGGAAGATAATTTTTATCGGATTTCATTTTAAATTTTCGGCTCATATTTTCAAATTCTATTTCGATTGGATTTTACATCCGAAAGTGTTCTCAGTCTGGAAGTAAAGTATGTATAAAATATCGACAACACAGTTTCATAATTTACTTTTGTACTTTTTTTACTTTCCTTTCTACAGGCGAGATGTCTGGTTTCTTTCGAATAGACGCAGCTGTTTAAAGAGCCATAAACGTTTTTATAGACATGTACTCAGCATCAGTTTTGATTCTTCCGTTACGAGTTACAGTTTTGTCCATGTTTTGTACAATGGACTCTTTCTTTTGGATAGGATAATCCGGTTCCTATATTTTTGTTTGAGACTTTTCTATTATTTCTATCAGTTGCTTCTCAGTCTGCGTGTTTTTTGAAGCATGTTGGAATCAGGAAGATGTTTTGAGCCCAATTTGGTTTAGCTTCCAAAGCAAACTTCATACGGTGTTCTTTTAATCCTGGGATGAAATGACGTGGTTTTTATGAGTTCAATGAAACATAGTCACTCATTCCATAGGTATATTCTCTCATCTTGTATTTACATACCTAGCTTGTTTTCAATCACCAGATTTACTATTTTTCGACAATTTCTCGGCTTGTTGAGTAGCGATTCTTGCAATGGATGATCTTCAAAATCAGATAGTATTTCTGTAGACCCTTTATTAGCGAATTTCCTGTTACTGAGAGGTTGTGGAATCGATGTTTCTGCAAGCAGTGTAAATGTATCCAGAAGGCTATATGCCACGTCACTGTCTTTTACATCAGACCCTTGAGAAATACAAGCTAAATGAGATGATCTTGAAATACAATTATAATCTTATATGCCATATCAGAAGTTAATTGAAATGTGATGAAATGTACCTGACAATGAAAACTATAACTGAAACATTCACAGGATTTACCTTTATTTTAAACACATTTATTTTTTCCTGCAAGTTTCACAAATTTGAATGAGCTACTGAATGCCGTGTGAAATAATGCTTTTGTATTCGCAGAAGATTTCTTTCAACCTTATGTTACGCCCGTCATGGCCATCAAACACAAAGACAACAGCAAATTTTTAAATATGATTCATGATGAGCATTAGACAACTCAGAATAATGTCTGGTGTAAAGTTGAATTTTACCTAACACATGCTGTAGCAGAATAATCAGTTTAGTATTACATTTTACGATCAAATAAAATTATAGTAGTTAGCTCTCCAAAGTCACGCTGTTTCTTCTTAGTAGCCGTCTTTATATTTTAACATCGGTCAGTAAAATTTATAAAACAGTTTCGATTTCAATAAAGACGCAATATTGAGCAGCATTGGCTAGAACCTTAGATAGTCTTCGCATAAATATCGCTGCATGTCAACATGTCGTATTTGCTTCCGTAATGTAAACAATGTAGCTTGTTCAGCCTCGTAGCTTGTTTAGCCAAATTCAGCCAACTCAAATTCCGCTTTCCACATCACCTAATAAATCCAGCATTTATGTTTAATATTCAGACGTGCATTGTCTTGCAATATTAAAATCACTACTCGAGTAATTTATACGTCGTTGATAAACTTTCCAGTATTCTGTAAAATATCTAAATTCCGCTTTCCAACTCAAATTCTGCTTTCCACATCAACTAATAAATCCAGCATTTATGTTTAATATTCAGACGTGCATTGTCTTGCAATATTAAAATCACTACTCGAGTAATTTATACGTCGTTGATAAACTTTCCAGTATTCTGTAAAATACCTAAATAATGCGACAAAAGCGTTTCATATTTTAATGTCGAATTCCGGCACTGTAGTCGTATACAGAATGTTTAATTTCACATTTCGCTACTAATATGTGCACCGAATATGATTATTTCAGATAATTTTATTTTATTTTACTCACATTTAAATGTTCGAAACATTTCTATAGTACATATATTCAATGTTATGGAAAGTTAAAATTATTCTACAATTTATATACTTTAAATTATATTAATTTACATCCTCAGGCAGAAAATCGTTGCAATTGCATAAAAAAGATTGTCCAAAGTATACTGCTGACCATTAAAATTGCTACACCACGAAGACGGCAAGCAACAAACGTCAAATATTCATGAAAGTTACTTCAGACGGAAATATGCAAATAATTAGCATTCAAGCGCATGGCAAAAAGCAGGTATGAGTAAGATGATCTACACTGTGGATTTCTTATTTGGAACTGGATTTGAACGTTGGTTGTTTGTGTATAGATCATGTTATGCAACGTGTATGAAGGATAAACTCCTATCAACATGTGTTGGAATTCGATCGCGGCAGAATCGTGAAATATTGGAGCTATGGTTTATCGTTCCGCGACATTACTGCTCATGTTGGCCGGCTTTCGATTACTTTTAGGTGAATATAGAATCGATGGATCCAGAAGGGTCATACTCACAGCCAAATTTGGACTTGATAATTCCCTAAACTATTTGAGATATAGAGCCTTTTATAAGTCTGTTTTAATATATTTTAATACTATTTGGATTATATTTTAATTTTTGGCGGCCCCCCCCAAGAGAGTTGCGGCCCTAAGCTACAGCTTGTGTAGCTTATACTTAAATCCCGCTCTGGTAATACGTGTAGGAATTCAGTGGCCTGAGCTTCTAACGCTTGAGAGGATTTAATCAACTATAAATAAATTTAATTATATCCTCCTCCCATTACAGTGTATACGTACAATAAATAAGATTTTGCGTTTTTTCGCTTCGTTTTGGTTTTCGTTTTGGTAATGGATAGTATATCAGATGATCCATTTGAATGTCAGACTTATACCGCTGAAATTGTAATTAGATAATTTTGCTGCAGTTGATTTGTTGAAACTCTATCAGCATGATATATTATTATATGCAGAATGCAGATGTTATTAGAATCACCTGAAGATTATCACTCGTGTAGAGACTTACTTGATTCAGGAAATTAGTCTAGTTTCTTTTCAAAATAACGGCATAAACAGATTAAACTTATCTAATAAATGTTAGTACATTTATTTAGGTCTGGGATCATGACAACTTTCGCAAATGAGTTTTTTCCCCCGCAACTGTTAGCAAGAGAGTAGTTTACAAAATACATCTTTGTAATTGATAGAATTATATAATAATTTTCCTATTTTGCATTTGAGTTTATTGAACAATATAATGATCTAATTTTGGCAGATTAAAAAAAAAAAAACTATAGCAATGGGCTTATCGATACACACTTGGAGCAGAGATTTTTTTTATCACGTATTAGAGGGGAAAACTATAAAATAACGGAGGTGGCAAACAAAAAGACTCTTGTTCTAAATTGTTGAGTATTAAGAGTAGGACTAAACGCATGATGTTGAAAATACTGAAGTAACAAAAATAAGCCTAAATTTGATTTCTGCGAATAGTAGGCAACTGGTGACTGGGACCTTACTTTTCGGACATAGCTTTTGGGAATGCCTTTATATACCTACGTTTAATCTGCATAAAAAATCAGAGAAAAACGTCTGAGGATGACTTTAGTTTTAGGAGATGCAAAAGTTTCAGGTTATGCAAGTACAGCATAATCAAGTTTTCATTCATTACCGTTTGAAAGAGATCAAACACATGGAAAGAATGCTTTATAAAAAAATTTATTGATTCCAAATTTATTGATTTTATTGATTTAGCATGTCGTTTTGAAGAAATATAGTACGAAAACTAGCATTTCTTTATGAAGTTTTAACTAAAATATCAGTAGGACTCCTTAAATGCCCTTTTCATAGATAGCCTCAAAGCTGAAGAAAAATTGTTTACAGTTTTACGTTACAGAATTCATAAAGTTGCACTTTGTTCTTACCTGAAGAAAATGTTTAGTTAGATTTGAGTGCATTTTAAGGCGTATACACACTGATAAAAAGTCCTAATGTAAACCTTTATTGCATTATTCATGTATTATTTTATCATTTTAATGAACATCTAGTTAACAAATAATGTTTGGTACATTCTTCTAAGAGTTAACTATGTTTCAACAATTGTGATATCGTTATGGGGAAGACAACCTAACAAATTTACATGCGCATTAAAAGCCAGAGTCAAGCAAGTATTAACAAAAATGTGACTACTTCATTGACAAAGTATGACTGACAGATGCAATCATTTCTAACAGTGCTATATCATACCCGAGGGCTTTTAAGTTTTCCATTTATAAAATAATTCACTTTCAAGTTAGGATTATTGTATTCTTAAATAATTCCCAAGGGAATTGTAAAAACATGTTAAACGCTTTTATATTAAACTACAACTGCTTGTTTTTCCTCATAACGCTTAGCTTTCAAATAAGAAATACAAACGAAGTAATCTTGAAAACGTTCACAATCCAAATTCAGTTTTCTTGATGGAAAGACGTTATTTTTAAAAATGGACAAAAACTAGAAATCCCACTGAAGGTTGAACTTTTTCTTCTCTTCAAAGCATATATTTTCTACATTTACAGGAACAGGAGTTTAGCAAATAACGAAGCAGAGATAAATCATGCAGATAATTTTCCTTATATGTTTCCTCAGAATGTCCGTACGATAATTTTATCCCTTATTTTTGCTGTTCCTCTTTGAGTAATACATCGAGTCATCATTTCAGCTAAGAATTCTGTAATTTCTAATAAAGTTACTATAGACAAGCCAAGGAACAAGCCCATATTTCCTCCGATGTTTGCTATCAATGATTCCCACTGAAAAGAGAATAAACCATGTAAATATAAGGTAAAATATATAGTTTTCTTCAAGTTAAATAAAAGTTACAAGAAATATTAAGGTTAGATTATTTGTGTATTGCAAAGCACAGGAGGACTACCTGTCTAAGTGTAAGGAATTCTTCGTGGAGGACGTTATAAGGGAAGCTGAATTGTATTCATGTTACACATGGGAAAATAATGCAAACCAACCTTGCAGCCGGCACTTTTTCCTGGATTCGAAATAATGATGAACTACCACTGTAAAGCACTCTTTAACCGCTCATCCACTGGCGAGCGTCACCATTCCTACCTTAAAATGTTAATCAGTAATCTTTTCAATTATAAATCATGTAAGGTTACTACTATTTTACATAACTAGACATTTTATGATTTAGATCATAATGTCACTTCGCCTTTCCGGTTCCCTGCCAGAAAGCAAATTTAGTGCGAAAATATTTAATTTGAGGTGTTTGGATAATAAGATAGAGCCTCTTTCTGCCTCTCGACGTCACGTTAGTAGATTTCATCAGCTCAGATAAGATTGCATTTATTCGGTTTTGCGTTAGTGTTGCTGATATTTAAATTTCTGAGCCAACTTAGATTAAATTGTGTAGTCTTTTCACTTCTAGGCAGAGTTTTAATTTTTAAATTTGACTGTTACCTTTGAGTTACATTGCCATGGGTGGTGGCTGATCCTTTCAAGCACGAGAAGTGCGTTCAATAATTCGCTCGAAGTCTGTTAGGAGTTTGGATTTATATACAAAAGAACGTTAGACTCTTAAGTATAAGCAAACTACAGAACTTGCCATTATAATGGATATAGATATGAATCGTGGATATGGATAATGCAGGATATTCTATGTACATTAAAATCAGGTTACTGTATTCCACAACATAATACATGAAATGAGTAGTTATTTAATATAGTAACAGAAGAAAATTATTTTATAAAACAAAGATATCTATATTTTGAATAATATATTGATTTTTGCAATTGTTTTATTCCGGTTATATGAAAAAATGAACTGCTGGATTTAATCTCCTGCTTTCCCCTACGCAATCAAAAACGTGGTGCCTTTGTCTAGCTGATGAGCACTTTGAAATGTATGTATTAAAACAATAAGGGGAGTGTGTTAAGCAAAACAATATACAGGAACATAATGATATAGATATCTTACATTACACTGGGGAACGATCTGTTAACACAATTTCTTTTGAGTTCTATTTTTAACCTGCTTTAGAATTAGATAGGCTGATTTCAAAACGTAGTTATTTTCTTCCACTACAACAAGTTTTTTTCTCCACACGGTATGTGAATGTGACCACTCCCTTTGCATCGAGCGTGGATCATAGGAAGTACTACTGCTATAATGAAATAAACACTTCGACTGAAGGCGGTAAAACAGTGTGTTGAGAGTTAAGGAATATAAATGAAGGGAACACGTTCTAAATTTCCATTTGGTATGCTTACGTTTTGAAGAGAGCCTAAAGATTGCTCAAGTAATTGTTAGGTTTGGATAGCGAAAACGTCAGGATATAATAAGAAAAATAAAAATGAAAAATAGAGTATCCTAGTTTGCCATCAGCTATACGCCCAGTATCTCACTCAGCTGAACACCCAGCGCCACAGGAGGACTACCTGTCTAAGTGTCTGCCTTTCAAAAAATTACTCCCTTTGGAAGTACAGGAATATGATTCTGGTGAATATCAATTTATCCCCATAGACGAAGATTTTGAAACTGATTCAGTTCGTAAGGGATTTGACCAGCATGAGATGAATGATTTGGCATGGGATTTACGACTATCCAAAAAAGCTTCAGAGCTGTTAGCATCAAGACTGTAAGAGAAATACTTGCTTGAAAAAAGACTTAAGATATCCTACTTTCGATCAAAAAAAAGTGCGTTTCGGCAATATTTTGAAGTCGTAATGGATTGGTGTACTGCCATAACGTACATAGTATTTGGTTCAGACCCAAAAAATCATTCAGCTTGTTTGTGTGAAGAATATGAAAACATAAAGAGAGTCATTGAGTTGTTGCAACATCACATGCACTAATGGATCATCTGTGACGACTTTAAAATGATCTGCTTCCTCCTTGGCTAGCAACGCGGGTATACAAAGTATTCCTATCTTTTTGTGCTATCTTGGGACAGCTGAGCTCGTGAGAAGAAGAATTAGGTGCAGTCGAATGGCCGCCAAGATCCGACCTGAAATGTGGTGATCCAAACATTCTACATTAGCCTCTTGTCGACTGAAAGTGTTATGTAGAATTTTTGCGTATGGAATTGTTGTATAGAATTGTTATGTATTATATTTCAGTGCATAAAGAATGTATTAATTTACAGTGAATAGTGAATTTATAATGTTAATATTTGAGAATTAATTTTTAATATATTATTGTTTAAACTCATTTTTTTTCGTTTGAATACGGTAAAGCTCTCATTAAGCTCGCGGAAAGTTTCGTTCAATGAAAAGGCGGGGGAATTTTTCCTTTTCGTTCAATGGAAGTTTCGTTTAATGAAAGACGGGACTGCTCGTCTGGGAGTCAAAAGTCGGCGGACTGTTGCGCTCCCGTCCGTCCCCTTCTTCCAAACTGAACAGGTGGTTTGCGCGTTTGGGAGCAGGAAATTCTTCTGCCTTTCTGATGTGAGAGTCTTGTGATATGTTTATTACTTATGGGTGTCGCAATTTTAATTGAATTACGGTTGAAAACGTTTCCTTGTTGTTTGCGCGTGAACGTGGTTGCCATTTTCAAAAGGGAAGGTTAGGTTTTCTTGGAAATTTGGAGCTTAATTATTGCCCTTTTTCTAGTTCGTTAGAGAGAGAGGACGTTAATCCAGTCAGTCAGTTAGGAGTTTTAAAATATTAATTCCTAACACATTTTAAACGTTAACAAAAAAACATTATATTTCCAACTCTGCATATAAAGCTGGGTCTCGTGAAGCAATTTGTTAAAGCTTTGCCAGTTGAAGAAGACTGTTTCTGATATCTCATTTCTGCATTTCCTAGACTGTCATTTGAAAAGATAATGGCCGGTGTGTTTGATGGTCCGCAGATTCAGCAGCTCCTTAAAGATGAACATTTCAGCGGAATAATTACAGAACTTCAAAAGAATGCTTGGTAGCATTCAAAAACTTTGTCAAATACTTTCTTGCAATTACACGAGCACAGAATTACAGCGACATTGTGCAACAACTTATGGAGAGTGTAAGAGCTTGCTTGCAGCATGAGCATCAAATTGCATTTTTTGCAAAGCTCTCTTCGCAACTTCTCAAAAAATCTGGATGCAGTCAATGATGAGCACAGTGAGCGATTCCAGTAAGATTTGGAGGTTATGGAGGCACGATACCAAGATAGATGTGATGTACATATGATGCCTGACTATTATTGGATTACCAAGCGAGAGTGTTTACACTCTGGAGAAAAGCCATAAGGGAAATTTTTTACCTTAATATGTATGTTTACATTTTTGTAAAAAATTTTACTAATTGTACAAACAAACTTTAAAATTTAACTTGCAGTAATTATATGTAGCCTTTTTATGAATAGAATTGTTTTTCTGTGAACAGCATATTTGGTAAAATTTCCCTTTATTTTTATTGATATCCATATTTTTGGGTGACTTTTGAGACAAGGGAAGGTATCCTGTAGCTTGAAATGTTGACGTGTTAGACAACACTTAGGTTTTGGATTCGGAGGCCAAAAGTTAGTCAAAAACAAGTGACAGATCTAAGACAACGAAATTGCTGTTTCCCAGTGTTATGACTGAGAAAATGTGACTTGTTTGTTGTCGCTTGGAGAGTTTAATATAAAAACAATCCTATACTTTTACATAAAAATTTAAAAAAAGGCGATAGCAGTGAGTAAAAGGTTCTAATCAGTAAAGAGGCGCTAGTAAAATGTTTGTTATATTTAATTAATTAGGTACAAAACGTTATACACTTTCCTACGAAAATTTCATGAGAAGTTCTAAATTTTATGACTTATTGAGACCTATAGTCAAGGCCTATAGTTTGTCATTAGGTAATTTAAAATGAAATTCAAACATTTAGTTTGAAAATTAAAAATGTATTTAAAAATTATAAATGTTTTTAAGATTGTGTGTTTATATTCACATGCTATTAATTAACATTTACATTATCACCAAGAGTGTAATTAATCATATATTTTGCTACATAATTATTAACTTACACTGTATATGGCAGTTTCGTTGACATAGGTCACGAAGAAAGAATTGTAGTAGATTTGTACACCCATTAAACTGAACCTGAAATAAATAAAATTGCATATTATGAATAACCCTCTTGAGCACTATTAAACAACATTTAGTCGAGAGTATAAATATCACTAAGACTGTTACATAGACAGAAGTTTCATCGTTTGGCATTAAGATACAAGATACACTAACTACCAATAAGTATTTGGACACCTGTGATAGAAAAGAAAAACTAACTTTATTCAAAATCAATAGTTGGTAGAGCCTCCACGAGAGGTAATTACAGCGTGCACCCTCCGGGGCATACTTTCCACAATGTGCTTCCTACGTTGTGGCAGTTTTACGGGTTGGACCCCTGTTACTTTCAGGACGACAATGCCAGTTGTCATGTTTCAACGTTAACCAAGGCTTGGTATTGTGCCAATGGAGTTCATCGAATGGACTGGCCTGCCCAGAGTCCAGACCTGATGACAGCTAGTGGTATTTACTTCCTCTCGGCTTGGAGAAGACATAGAAGTTCCTTCACCAATTTTGCACGGGTAGTGCACCCCTGAATTCAGCGATACAACTCGTCCCAGAGGTTCTCGATAGGGTTCAGGTCTGGACTCTGGGCAGGCCAGTCCATTCGATGAACTCCATTGGCACAATACCAAGCCTTGGTTAACGTTGAAAATGACAACTGACAACTGGCATTGTCGGCTTGGTAAAGTTCAACTCTGAGGGTCCACGATGACAACCGGGTTAAAACCAACCATTGTCGTCCTGAAAGTAACAGGGGTCCAACCCGTAAAACTGCCACAACGTAGGAAGCACATTGTCATCCAAAATAGTGCAGTAGGCATCGGAGTTGAGCTTACCATGAATGGGGACCAAGGGTCCAGCCCATACCAGGAGAAACACCCCCCAGACCATAATACCACCTTCGCCGAACTTGACTGTTGGCACAATGCATTCTGGCAGGAGACGTTCTCCAGGTAGACGCCAGACCCAGACCTTCCATCCGAACGGTAAAGGTTGAACCTTGATTCATCACTCCAAAGAACCCGTTTCCACTGATCTACGGTCCAATTTCGATGTGCTTTTCACCACATTAACCGAGCAGCGCGGTTGGACTTTGTGATCAAAGGCTTATGGGCAGCAGCACGACCATGAAAACCAAGCAGATGTGCTTCCTTACGAATATTATTCATTGAAACAATACTCCCGGATGCCTGTTAAAACTCCTCGCGGATGAGGGCTATCGGTTGGGTGCGGTTGTTCCGAATTTCTCTGAACAGCACTCGTCGGTCTCTATCCCCCAGTTCCGTTGGTCTGCCGACTCGGGGGAACATTCCGACAATCACCCCTCAGCTTCCACTTCTTAATCACATAGGCCAATGTCGATATTGGGTACTTCAAATCGCTAGATATGTCTCTTAAGGATCGGCCACATTTGTGATACCCGATAATTATACCTTTCTCGAAATCAGAGAGCTCCGAACTGCGAGGCATATTGCATGCGACTAAAGCCGATGCTGTTTCCTACACGATATATACCGGCGGAGTCCGTGGCGTACCTTGGGACCGCAGATATCGTCATTTGCATAGGTGTCCAAATACTTATTGGTAGTCAGTGTACAAGTAGGAGAATTAGAAAGACATTATATAGCTGAAGAGTTCATGAATGACTTCAAATATTTTACTAACTATGACGAAGTTACAAATGTTCATAAAAAGCTTAACCTTTGTTATGTCTTTCCTTGAGGTAGTCATCTGTGAAATGTTCGTAAAATTTAATTGATAAGAAAGTCAATATTTATTATATTTATTATTTCAGAAGCATGTGGCATCATAGTTGTCATACATACTTACGTCTGGCCACAGCGATTTTAAAAAGTGCATTGTATGAATAACGCTTAACATTTGGGTCATTCTTGGTTATACTCTCACAATGGACCACACATATTATCTCATTCATGAGTTTTGAGCTCGTAAAAATTGACTCTTCCTCCTAATTTCTCGAAATAGCTTCCATTCTGTAGCCGAAAAAACTACACATTTCCAAAGCCATTTTTCGTCCCATGTTATGCCTGCCCTACCTGTACATACTGAAGCCGCGTTATTCGAAAACAGTTAGAGACAGCACAAAATATTATTGGTCGACAAATAATGTACCTTGGTATAATCGGAACACTAAAATACATGAAGAATTGAATATTGGGGAATTTACATGTATATACTATGAGCTAGTCAAGAAATTCCTTGAAAACTGCTCCTTAATAATGAATGTATTAGTAATTATGATTATGATATATATGATGCTTGTAGTGTAAAATGCTCCAGAGTAATCTTTAATCTAAATATGACATCAGAGTAGCAGTTATTAGTTGTCTTGCTTGTTTTGTTGCTTATATCTGCCGTCAAAATATAAACCCACTGAAACTTCTTATTTTTTTACGTTTAAAGACTTATTATAATGGACTTTCTTTGAATTAACATTGTAGAGAAATTAGGTTATTTCGAAGCAGAAGAGATGAAGAAAAGAGCAATGCCCTCGCCGGAACTCGAACCAAGGACCTCTCGAATACGTGTCGAGCATGCTGACCATTACACCACAAAGGCATGCTAAGAAGGCGGGAGAAATACCTTACAACATGATTCGAAAAACAAATTATTCGAAAATGATAGTACACATACACATACTGTTATGTACTCCAACACATACTGTTCGAGTTATTATATCCCTCATACTGTTCGAGTTCTAAGCATCTTTGTTGTTGCCAACTTAAGTATCAAAACAAAACAACAACAAAAACTGTGAGCATCGCAGTTCCTGTCTTGCAGAGAAGGATTGGTACAACTACTATATTCCATTTTCATTGATAACGACTCCAGCAACACCAGATATGCAGCGAAACGAATGTGCTGTATATTGACAGAAAAGATGGATTTAAAAGAGACATCTCTCTTTTATTGTTGATTGGAGTGAAAAGTCCGGAGGTAAGGCAAACTGGTAACAAATTCCCTAAAATGTCGGTCTTTTGAGAAAAAGTGCGAGACGATTAACATGTGTAATTTCGAGACTCTATGGTTTTCAGCCATATACGTAGTTAATTTCAATTTTATTTTTTACCAATTTAGGAGATTTATCTGGATCACAATGGCAAGATTTGAGGACCACTAGTGGTTCGCGAAGCACAGCAATTGAGAAACACTGATTTAAATAATAAAATTTCTGAGAAAGGTGTACATGGTTTCTAAATACCTTATAAGGTATTTCTTCCACCTTCTTAGCGTGTCTTCGTGGTGTAGTGGTCTGTATGCTGGGCGGGTATTCCAGAGGTCCGTGGTTCGATTTCCGGAAAAGCTTATTTTCCCTATTCTTGCTTCCGAAAAAATCATAATGTCTCTACAGTGGCGTCCGAACAGGGACGGCGAAGGCGTTGCTAATTTTTCTTCTCTCCAGTCTCGAAATAACATAATGTCTCTACAGTGGCGCCAGAAATAGAAGGGTGATGGATGATAATTCTCCACACCCAGGATTTGGCGATACGGTCCCCTAAAATTCCAATCGCCCTTTAAAAGAGGGAGCATATAAGGTATTTCTCTCGCCATCTTAGCATTTCGTGGTGTAGTGGTCTGCAGTCTGGGCGTGTATTCCAGAGGTCCGTCGTTCGATTCCCGGCGAAGGCGTTGCTTATTTTTCACTATTCCTCCTTCCAAAAGAATCCTAATATCTCTACAACCTTAAGTCTGTTATAAGTAATGTAATAAATTATAAATCTTATGCCTTAATGGCAGAAGTGCTCTGAATTGACACTTTATCAAACTGTATAGATAATTAAATCAAAGAGGATGTCGATTTGATAGCGTAACATAACATGAAGTAGAATAATTGCGAAAAGTGAAACTAATAGTCTCTAACGTCAAAATTTAAATACTTATAGATATTAATAACATGGTATATAACAGATTAGTAAACAAATTTTATAAGAAAAAGTAAATAAAATGGAATGCCTAGAATAAAGAAAATAAATATATACGATCAAGCATGAATGAATACATGCGCAAATCAATATCGCGTCAAGTACGTTTGTGCATATATTTAGTTATTAATGTGTACTCAAAGAACTTAGATATTGGCAAGTTGTTGAATTGGCAATAATTGTCGTTGGTCCGTTCGGCCATCTTGTCCGTTCCTTCTTGAGCCCTATTCTCTGTATGTGTTCCAGCTGTGTCCTTTATTAACTAGCAAAACGTCATCGGAATAAGCCAATATTTCGTTGTGAAAATTTGCATGAAAGAGATTTAGTGCTGTGTCATGTTATGTCGAGAATTTCAATTATTAATATGTGTTTCAAGTTATTATTATTCTAATAGGAATATGTTATGTCGCGAATTTCAATTTTTAATATGTGTTTTAAGTTATTATTATTCTAATATTTTTATTTGTATTCATGTGTATTTTAATCTGGAAAAAAAAAGTATTCTTAAGCTCTTAAGGTTTTATTTAACTCATTATTCTTGAGTAGGAATTGTAACAAAGGCGAAAGACGGTTGCGAGGACACACATCTGGTTTATGGCCTTTCCAACAATGAAGGTAGTAGGGTGTAGGTGTCGCCCTTTTTTAGCTAATGCGTGTGAAACGGAAATCGTTCGTCTTGTCGCTTTGTTAAACTTTGGTGTTTTGCGAACTTCAAGACAGTGGGAGGTGTACTAAGTTAGATAATTGGATGATCGTAAAAGCTAGTTTCACTTGTTAGTTGGGGGGTCTACTTCTTTTTCTCACGTTATGTGTGCAGATGTTTTTCGGATTTCATTGTCAGATTTTCTGGTGTTTGATTCGTCATGGGTGTGTCATTTTCTCAATTTAGATAACATAAAATTCCGGGATTGGTAAGATTTAATTTTATGATTTTTTTGAAAGCCTATGAACTCACAGAGGCGGAGAAACCGAGTTTTCCTGGGTGCTTGCACCAGGCTAGAGATCATTCTGTTTCCTGATTCTTTCAAGCTAAGAGTAAGAAGAGGAGTGGGGGCTTGACCCTTGCGGGTCTTGCTCTCGCGAGCG